ACTTCTATTGTCATATCTCGTACGGATTTAAGGTATTCTAAACTGAGAAAATCAACAGATAAATGTTACAGAAGAGTATAAGATGTGCATTATTAACTAAATTGCTATCTCAGAAAAGCTCTGTGAAAGTAGGAAATACATCTCTGCCAATACGAGACTACAGTGAGGGCTACTGGTGCCCACATATAACTCCAGGTCCTACTTGCACGTGATCCCTGAACGCAGCCCCCCTGAACGCAGTGAAATGAAACCACGGCATATTTGCTGTGGCCACTATTACGAGATTATGTAGCAAAACAAGAATATCCAGTTGTTGGTCATTGATTTATCTATAAAACAGTAACTGTAAAAATGATGGAAGAGGTTCTGTACTAGCTAGTCTTGTGAAACAGTTTATTACTTAAGCATTAATGACCCGTTTAGAGGTCTTTACTGGTCAGGTAATGACCAGCTAAAGGAGTTAAGGGCCCGAGGCAAAGCACTCTAATAAAACCATGCATACAGTAGGTGTTGGGCTCCTCCAAATCCTATTAGGAAAGAGAAGTGTAAAGCGTAATGAAAGATATATCCGAGAGGCACTCATATCAGCCCTCTCGTTTTATATTTGGCATAATATATGCGGCCCTATTCCAGCTGCACAAATCATTCCTTGTTTATACTAACACCTGTCACTGAGGAGAGCAGTAACTACAGCCGGAAACGGCCAGCCATGACACTGAGGACCCTGTTGCTTTGGACAGATAAGCCTTCCTCTGACTGAAGGAAGAAGTTACGTGAACACCCGGTATCCTTTGCACCTGTAGGGAATGCATGCTCGAAAGAAAAAGACCTGAGACAGCGTGCCGCCAGAAACCTCAGCCAGCCCTGTCGTTCCTAAATCCTACTCGATTAGTATTAAGGGTGGAGGGATTAAGTGTTTTCTGTATTTCTCTGCAACTCTGCTCAAAAATATTGACTTGAATATGAATATCCTCCTGCTTTTTACTGCTTCCATTATGAAAAAGGATCACATTAAATCAGGAGCTTAATATGGATATCTCCACTCTAAGACTGAGACAAGGTAGCTGTATCTGTATTTGCCAGTAAATGAGAAGATAAGGGTGGGAGCACTACCCAGGGCCCCAGCTCTTGGCCTCAGTGGCACCCGGGCCCACATAACTGCATCTCGCTGTTACAGCCCCACAGCATCATTGATTTTGCTCCTGATTTACAGCTTCATTTGTTCTTGATAAGAGCCACTTGCCAGCACTACTCAGAAAAAGTAAAATACAAGCTAACAGGGCAAACCAGAAAGAAGAAAGGATAAAAGAACTGCTAGAAAACTGCAGAGATTCCTGTATTTGCATATTCATAATAAAACGTCCCAGGTACGAGCAACGTTTATTTGCTCAGCATCTATTACTGTCTCATCGATGGTAAAATGGGGATTAAGAGCATTCTGATGACTGGATCAAAAAGTTACTTAATTTCACTAGTGTTTCTATGACTATAGTATATTTTGAATGTTTATTTAAAAAAAAAAACTCTGTAGTGTTTGCATGACTAATTGTAATAGCTTCTCTAGAGTATTTCCAATTTTCTCTGTAAATAGGCTTTTAAGACATGTTCAACACTTATTTCAGACTTTAACAATCTTTCAGAGCCATTACAGCTAATCATATAAATACACATTAGGCCAAATTTAAGCTCAACTCATGTACAGAGTAGAAATCCTCAGGAAAAATGGTATCTTCATATTCACAGCATCCAATTTTCAAGGCCAAATATCTCAGATATCAAATATCTCAAATATTAACTTCAGACTGTCTGAAGTGATCACGACACAGTCTAGGCATTTAATGAAACCAAATTTTCCATCAAAAGTGGGCAGAGCAGAAAACATACACAATATTAAGTAGATATTGTTTTTACACTTTGTGTACAATTGTACACTGTGACGTGTTAAAGGTACAAAAATTAATTAATTAATTAACTCCCTAACTGAAAGCAGATTCTGCACATACAGCACAAAGCCTGAATTTAAACCACAAGATTCATTCATTTTTAGAGCCGAATTATAAACTTTTGCAACATAGGGTTAACAGCAAAAGTGCTGACACAACAGTAACTACACAGTGGCGCCTGCAAGCAGCGCTATAATTAATCTAAGTGTACTGTCATTACACTAAACGCTGCTTCTGCAGGATCATTCCAAATCACGAGGCACGTTCTCTCTTCCCCAGATAACATGCAGTTTATTTCCAATCATGTACATTTCCAGCCGTGGCATGATTTGCTAAAGGAACATTAGGTCTCGAAGCAATATCTTAATCAAATCAGAATTTTCTTCTGTAAAACAAATCTTTGGCTTTTGGAGAATTAGTAACATCTAATGCCTCAGGATAGAGATGTGAAACTGTGAGCTGAAATACGCACTGCTGGAGACCGTACTCAGCCTTCTTGCTTCTAGCCATTTACAAGTACATCCATCTAACCTCCTACCTACACACCTACACTTTATATGGTCATAAACCACGAATGCAATATCTAAATTATACCCTGAAAACTCCAGGTTTGAAATGGGTTGTATGAAAATTCACCTCATGTGGTTTATTCATTTCTGCAAGAATAGACGGCTCTGATTCCTTTGGATGGAACTCATTTAAACAAAGCCCAACAGCAAACACCCATAAATTAAAGCATTATTGGTATTTATGCAAAGAGATACACGTAAACTGAGTAAATTCTAGGTAAAAGGCTTTAAAAAAAAAAAGGAAAGAGGTAGAATTTTACACATACAACACTAAATGTATTTGTAACGTTACTAAGTATTTTGTAAATTAACACTTTGAAATACTTCCCCATTAGGGAAGAAAAAAAGTGTGCCTTCTCTGGACACCTGTTTATTCACATACATTTAAAATTTCCCCCACTGCTCTTCACAGCCTGAGGTAGTACTACCTTAATCAACTAAGAAAATATGGAAATAGAGTGAATTTAAGTATTTCACTATATCCATTTGAAGCTGGTAATTCATAATGGATAGAGATCTACCCAGAATATGTTCACTTTACTTTGACATAAGCTATTTCTGAGGCAGTAGCCTGCTTCAGAAACTTTATGATCAAACTACCTTGATTACGTTTACAATACAAAATTATGTAATATACCAAAAGAGTCATTCTTTACTTTTGCTATGTAGGTCATTGATTAAAGACCAGTCTGAATGCTGCAGTAGAATTTTTAAAGTAGCGCTATTAATACATAAGTGTTACACTGTATTCATGTTGATCACTGCAAAATTGTTAGTATCTTCAAGTAGTGCTGGGAAAATTTATATACAGAAAACTGATAAAAATACCTAATAAAAGGCAATGGCAAGACGAGAACGCAGGCCCACTGGGCCAGCTCAGACCCGAGTTATTCAACTTCTCCCTTTGCAAGCAACAGATTTGCAACATTCTGAGAATTAGATTAAAACATCTTCAGAAGAACATGTGCTTAAAAGTCACTAAAACCATCAGGGCTTTCATTACAGCAGATGTAACAATCATTCATGCTCAGGGTATTGTGGTGCAAAGTCAAGTTATGTTTTTCCGCCAATAAGTACCTGTTATCTAGTAAACAAAGAGTACTGCAACACACATACATACACATATATACTCACAGAAGCCACAAAACATGCTTGATGACTGCTCTACATCTTAAGAATGAATAATGATTACAGACATATGGCCCGAGCCTACAGTTCTCCAAAACCTAGAGCAAAGAAATATTAACAAAGTGATGATACTTATTCTTTGCATATCTAAAGATGACTGTCCACAAACATTGTAATTTAGCCAGTTTTGCTCCCCTCCTTGTGCTGGCAGTGGCATTCATGCAACTGCTCAGGCAAAAAGATCAGGCAATTAATATAGCTGCAAACTAATTTCCCTCCCCTTCCCCTATCCCCCTAAAAAGAAGAATGCTTTTGGTGGGACATGTCCTTAATATGATTCACATGATCTCCTAAAGGCTAGCACTGGTACAAGAGAGCTGGATCAAACACATGGCTGGGGTAAAACTGGAGGGCAAGACAGCATTTGTGCTGGCAGCCTGCCCACATTTGCGTCAGATTAAAGGGGAAGGTGGAATTGCACCTACAATTGATATTGTCCAGACTGAGGAAATTTTACAGACTTTTAAAGAATACCCAAGGTGCATTATCCTCTTCTCTTTTGCAAGATAGGCAGCTGCAGTACGTCAGACAATTACTACAGAACTGGAGCGGCCAAACCATGCTGTTTCTGCTATAGCCCACAGGCATGCTCGTAACAAGGAAAACTAACTCAGACGACATCCACAGAACACGCTTGTGGAGTCCACCAATTTGCTCGGTGGGATAATCCTCTAGAGGACAAAGACAGCAAGAAAACTGTGACAAAGAACTTCCAAGGCCGACGTCCTAAAACGTTCAGAAAAGAAGCGATCAAGGGTGCGCTGTCTGGTGTTGACTAAAGAAAGACTTCAGTGGTAAGAGACAAGGAGCTGAAGTTGTGCAGCAGGTCATGTTCCACTGCTAGTCCTATCCGTGCAACCCTGAAACAACACGACGTCATGAGCGTGCCTGAGAGCAAAACTCAGCGCAGCAGGTTTTGTGAGCCAAAGACAGGTTCCCAGCTAAGGACTCCACATCTACTTAATCCACCTTCACATTTTTACTGTCCTTTCCTCGGTGGTGTGAAAGATCTGTTAAAACTAAAGGCAGCAAACGACAGTGGGAGGCAACTAATGCTTCAAAAGCAAACCATCCCTACGTGGCGTGGAAGCCAGAGCTGCTCAGACCCCACCGAACTTGACAGGGAATGCATACGCTCTCACGTTACAACAGCAACTCACATCTGTCAGCTAAGATCAGTAGACATGATTCTGGTTACTTTGTCCAGTTCCTATCTTCTAGAAAATGCACGTCAGACCAAAGACCCAACCAGCCTCCCTCAGGCGAATCCCAGGCTACAGAACTACAGGATCAGACTTACGGCTGGTGCTGTGACTCCTGCATTTTCAGTCATTTGGTAGCTCATCTTCTGGTGGGTGCACGAAGGCTGGTTTCTCCAGGAATACTCCCTACCCAGGCAGGCAGCGGGCCATGCCCCTTAGGGCACTGTGGGCCCCGAAGCCATGCTGCCTGCTTCCCAGGTGATTCTCTGTCACCACGTCATTACAGAGAAGCCACGAGGGCCTACTAAGGCAGACATGCTTTTTGGGGGGGGTGGGGGGGGTTGCTACTTTTTAAGGAAGTGTGATGTGCTCAGACATCTCGCATCAGAAGGGAGCTGTAGGCACTGGATCGTTAGTGGGCAGATGCAGCCCTGAGTCAGAGCCTTATGCCAGCCCTAAAAGGCAGGAGCTTAGACATCACTCTGGATCCAGCATTTGCTAGTGGCTAAATCTAGTGATTAGTCAGCACGCAGAGCTGCTGAATCACTCTTCAAAGGCACCTATGTCTCTGCTTACGTCAGCTAGGGAGCCAAGGCACTTCACTTAAACAGTCTAGATTGTCCATCTGCAGCCAGGGCCCTTTTACTAAGCTAGCACAATGTCTCAGCTATGGCACAAAAGTAAGCCAGATTGCTGCCTTACCACAATACATGCAATAATAAAACAGTAATATTGACATGCATAACAAAAAAGATTTAGTATCATAGTATTTCGTATCATTTTTCTGACAAAATGATTTTAAATATAATGCAATATTTATCTTTTGTCTAAGCAATTATGAATATATTTAAACATCTTGTAAAATTTTCTTCATTTTCTATCCTTCATAACTAATTGTTTGGGCTATTAATTATTTTGGACTAAATGCATGTAGGTATTGATATTCATAGAAGACAAATGACATACTAAGCAGATGAGACAATTAGCATGAATTGCTTCAATAAACTCAAACTCTCCCAAATCTCTGCATCTTTAAAAGCTTTGTTAAAAAACAAAAACAAAAAACCCCACAAGATTAATATTGTATTTTATTACTGTGATCCTTTAACATTTTTACTGACCGTGACAGACTTCACCTGACTAAATCTGAATTCTGTCAACTCTCATCGTAACAAAACCCAGTCTTAGAGATAAGGTGCTCTCCACGGGGGCTAAACAAAAGCAAATCAATATTTGCTAGCAAAAGGACAATCTTTGAGTCAAGATCTGAGTGAGGAAAATCTTTAGCCAATTCTTAGAGGAAACTAACTACTTAGAAATGCATAATAAGCAATTAATTTTATTGCTTCAGAATTTAAAAAGAGTTTTAAAAACAGTGGCAATTATTTTCTGACACTAGTGAATAAAAATGTGACAGCTGCACTTAAAATGAAAATGATACATGCAACAGGAAATATTTGTGAAATAAAACAGAAAAACTAATAGAGTACAACTTCTACTCCTCAGTGATAAAAACGAGCAAAAAGCATATTGGTATACAGCGTTCTATTGTTCATAGGATAATTTTGGTATTGTTCTAATATCCAGTTTGACAGAAAGTGCCTGTTAAGCCCTATGTGAAGAATATCTTTGAAATTTTTCTTCTTCTTCTTCATTTCCGTTTTATATCTGAAATCAATTAAACAATAATCACCAATTGATTTTGGAATGCTTAATCCTGCATATTTGCACAATTTTTTTTAGTTGTTTTTTGCTTCTGGGGAGACTTAAATATCATTGAACAAAATCCTCAAGACTTTTCCTAATAAATAGCAGGATTTATAATAGATAGCGGCAAATTCTGCTCTCCTTATTTAGAGGAGTGCTCCTATCAAAGCCAACAGCATTGCAGCATCCTTTAACAGCAACACAGCTCACACTGTATCACCCACTGGAGTCAACAGGAACGCTAGAAAGATGATAAACAAATAAGAGAAGTGCTCATTATAAATCAGCTACCTTTCAGAAGTACTTTAATATCTAAACAGAGACAAATTAGAGATACTTAAAGGAGGCCTTTATAAGTAATGTTAATACAATTCCAGACTGCCACAGTTCAGTTCTGATCTTGAATCTGTCCCCTCACAGTGTGGTAAAAAGTCAATATACGTATTGATATACGTATTTCAAAAACTATCAGTAACTTCCCCACTAAATTCTGGCTGCAATACAAACATAGTTATCATCCAAAAGACACAGGTTACATCAAACAAGTAGAAACATCTAACATGTCTGTAGTCGAAGGCTGTGAGAAGGACCTCATCTGACCACGAGAGGGAGAATTGAATCATACCCATTGTTTATTCACATATATTTCTATCTCAAACCAAGCTTACAAAGTGCACATTTCACAAGTTCAGTATATTCAGGTGAGTCACGTCATGGCAGTGAGATCCCTGCCTGCACACACTTGTCAGGGAAAAAATGCCCCAAACAAACAAAAAGCACCCCCCCCCAACTCACTCCAGGGATGCTATAGCATGATCAGGAATGCTAGGGTCAGAGCAGACCCACCACTTGAAGGCAAGCAGGGTCTGGCCCTTCAGAAGGATGCTAGGAAAGAGTTGTGAAAGCAGCAACTACAGATTCAGCACTGCTTTGTCTTTTTCACCTGAAAATGACATTACTGGTGTCTACTCTCACTTGAAGGTGATGTTTAACTCTGGAGAGAGAATCAGGGCAGAACGTGGCTGCCCGTTTCCTCAGCCTCTCTTCACACATGCATAAAGCCTGCTAGCTAATGTTTCAGAAATCGAGTTTGGCCCCTAATGCTCCTGCTAATTTAGATCTCACCTATTAGAAAGCCTCCTGCTCCTCATATGGAAGATGGTAACAACTACGACCGAAGCCTCCAAAATAATTTAGAAGGACTAACGATGGAATACTTCCCATGAAAAACGTGGGACACTGAAATCTGATCTTCTCCTTGACTCTACCGACCTAGAGTTTGCTGATAACCTTTCAGGCACACCGCAGAGTTCATCTGCTTTTGGGGCCACTAGGGAAGTTACAGACTGAGGGAGGTATGAAGTTGTCATGAGATACTTATTCATTACTGCTGGTAATAATAATTAAGAGAAGTCACCACTACACAGTACTTTACACATCTGCAATAAGTTTGTGTGTTCTAATTGTGTTCAAGAGCTTGGAGAAGCACAGAGTGATGGAAGTAAATAAATAAACTACAACATGTGGCCTTTTCACCCAGCGTCAAAATGCAGTCCTAGATTTCATTTTTAGGATCAATCATTACTCAGTCTTGAGAATTGGCTTTATTTACAAAAGAACTCATAACCATATGACATAGAGTCTATCTCAAAGCCTGTGTTATTTGTGACTGGAATAATCACAGACCGTTTATGAGAAATTTAAGGCAGTAGTAAGCACAGAGCATATTTTGGTTTTTGGCCAGGACGTCTGGACCTTTTACTATACAGTCAAATATCTTATGCTAATCTCCAGCCAGTGAAAGGAGATGGGAAGAAAGCTTTGTTCAACCAAAGAACATCAGAGCAGATGTGACTGGAACCCAAACCCTTTTTGTCAGCAGAACTGACCTGGAAGCCCCAACCCAATCCAATGGCAGTTTCTTAATCTACTCATATGGAATGAACAGCTACTGATCTCATCATCAACATCAAAACAAGCACTGCATGGCTCACATTCTGGTGCTCCTGAGGCATGCAGTTTTTCTCCTTTGGATTTTGATTCCCCCTTTTTTTTTTTTTCTTTTCTTTTCCCCCTCCCTTACCAGAAGATGGCCAAAACGTAACTCTAAATACTGAAACTACCAGCTGAAGCCAGCTTGTCTCTGACATGCTGCGGCATGCAGAGACAACGGCAGCATAGGAGCACCTGAGCCACATTCGCTATGCCACCACAGCTGTGACAAAATTAATGAGCTGACCTATATTAGAAGGGAGTCAAAATAAACTTTTGCTGCACAGGGGCAAAAGCTTTGATCAGAATGTGGTCTTTCTAGAGTATTTCATATTACAAAGTTACATAAAGCCAGGCACAGGAAGCATGCAATAGGCCATTTTGAAATCCAAGATGTGGAAAACCAGTTGCTGTTAAACAACTATCCCAGGGCTGCACCGAACCTGCAGAAAATACAGCTTACCCACCCATTTTCCCAACATGTAGAGAAACCAACATTATCCCATGTGATGCCTCAAAGAAGCATCTTAAGAACATAAAGGTACATGGTACATACATATATAAAGTATATGCCATACGGTGTGCACATGTGTATATACAGCACATGCTCTATGACATAATAATACAGGATATGCATGTAAACATTAACAGTACCTACACAGGCGTGTAGATGTACATGCATAGCTAAGCATGTATTTATTATAACAAGAGAGCTCTTCCACTTTCTAACGTGCATTTAGGTCTCGTTTATGGATGGGGTGTCCTTAATAACCGTAGAGTGCAGGTAGCACTCGCCCAGCCAGTACCCTCCCAAAGGTGCCAGGCACAGCTGCAGGGCTGGCGTATCCTCTCCTTTGCCCCTAGGGCACAGCTTGCAAGACAGGGTGGGAAGTCAGGACAACCACACCACCTCCCTCCTCGAAGTCCTTGTTCATTAGCAAAAGGCAAAAGGTCCTGCCCTGAAAGTCAGCGGCTGCCGACACAGTGGAATTGGTTCATTTAGGCGTGTACTTTTTGGAAGCTCAAGATCT